AAGTGTAAACAGTGGGCTGACCAGCTATCAATATGTCTGCCGCGCAACGTGTGACGTCATGTGCCCGAGCCTTATAGTTCAGATTTAGAGTAACTATAAATATATTTTCATGACTTCCTAAAGACTGGATTGAGTTACCGTTTAGACTTTAAATGATACATTTAGAAGTAGATGTTGTGTTTAGTGTTGTTTTTTTCTACCCATGTCTGCGTCCCCTTTACTGTCCCCTCTTAAGGGCAAAGTTTTGTATGCACAACATAATGCTGCCTATCTCCAGTGGCCATTGAACAGTTGGGTTAAATCCTTAGAATGACATCAGCCCATCACATGGGCAACAAAGACATACACTTAATTAACAACTGTCTCCTGGTTGCATCACTCCAGAGAATCATACATGATTAATAGGCTTCTGCAAAACTTGATAGCAGAGGAGTCATCATTTGAATCAGGTGTGAAATAGCAGAAACATATCTAAAACATGCAGGAATCCATGAGGACCAGGGTTGAAAAACACTACATTAATCTAACGGTTATGTCTGAGGCCTTTGGGAGTAAACCGAGAACCTGTGGAGAAGTTCCACCTACATGTGGAACATGCAAACGCCATGCAAAATTACACCAGGCTGGGTGTCGCACCTAACCCTTGCACCTCATATCCCTGATACTCTTTTTTATTTACAGATAATAGATTAAAAATGTCTAAAAAATCAGTTCTGTTTTATGACCAAATGCTACTTTATACTGTCTCACAACTTCATCACTGATCGGGTCAACCTTTCTACTGAGTTTACATCCATATTTAACAAATTGTGCATATTTCTATAAATTATGAGTTTCCACTTACAGTAAATAAAAACACATAATTCAAAATTAGATTATTAAACAAAGCTGTTCAGAATTGAGTCAATTTTGTTTGCACAAGCAATGAATTTGACTTTTGAAAAACACACATTGGAATGTAAAGGAAGCTATTGGAAGCTTCCATCTTTCTTTACCCAGTTCTTTCCTGAGAAGCGATCAACAGTCAAAACTCCAACCACAGCAACTAAAATGCTTATAGGGATAAAATAAGGTTCAGATAAAACAAGGACAGCAGCGTTATGTTCAAGTTTGTTTGTGCAGATCATCTTCATGGTTTCAAGCAAATATCTTCAAAGTTTTGTATAAGAAACAAGATAAGCAAGAAACAACCTATAGAGAACACATATGTACATGTGAATTCATGCTACATATTTCTTAGATTTATTTACTTTTTTAACACGTATGCTTGCAGTACTTTGTTGGTTTATTACACACAGGGTTCTAATATAACTAAGTACTAAAACTTTTTTTTTACCTTAAAGGTATTGTGGAGTTTTTTTGCCCTCTCCACTTAAAGAAAAATGCACACGCACAACCCTGTACCAGTTCCTGGGAGAGAACGCCTATTAACACTAGATTTCCCGGAGAATTCCAGTTTTCCTGCTAGCCCCCCTCCCCTCCTTAAGTTTGTGTATTTACTCTACCTTGCTAAGTGTCCTTGTTGTAACCTGTGATGTGACCAGACAAGGCAAGGCATAGATACTCTGATTATTTTGTAGCTTGCAGAGCTCGCTCCTCCTGCACATTTTTGGAGCAGCAAGCTCCCCATAGTGTCATGATCTGGCCTGTTTGCTCACCCTTAATTAGTAATTCCCCTCACCTGCCCTCTTCCTTCCCTGCCTCAAT